TTCGGGTCACAGGGGCATCAGTCTAAGCAGGGATGCCCAGACCTTCCTCTCTATGGCCACCTCTTCCAGCTCCTCTGACGAATACGAAGGCTTTCCCAGGCCTGCCCTATCTCTAAGGCTGAGCCTAGATACCCTGCAAAGGAAATAATTTCTGCCACTTGTATCCACAATCTCATTCTTTCAGTCAGTACCTAAAGCTAGTGACCATTGATGAGGGTAGGAACGTAGATCAACTGGTAAATCAAAAGCTTTGCTTTCCGGCTCAGCTCTCTCTTGACAAAGACAGAACAATACAGCATCCACATTACTGCCGAAGCTGCAATGATCTGCCTGTCGATCTCCCACTCCCTTCTTCCCTCACTTGTGAACAAGACCATGAGATACTTAAACTCTGCTTGAGGCAACTCCTCTCCCACCAGGAGATGGCAATCCACTATTTTCTCGTTAACTCTTACAGGCTCCTACAATAATTATGTTGGTATGAGAGTCACTTGACATGTGCCTTTGAGACATGTGGCCAGAGACTTGGAGGTGTTGATCCTCATCCAGGCCACATTCAGCTGTGGCCTGGATGCATGGTTCAGGTCATAGCTCGACGATGCCAAGAGGACCACATCAAGTGCAAAACGCAATGACGTGATCCTGAGGCCACTGAACTGGACCCCCTCCGTTCCTTGGCTATGCCTAGAAATTCTGATCATAAAACTTATGAACAGATTTTGTAACAAAGGAGAGCCCTGGCAAGTCCAACACCCCATTTGGAATGAGTCTGTCTTACATAAGAACATTTACAAAGGAGAGGAGGCCATTTGGCCCACCAAGCTTGTTTGGGGACAACTTGGGGAAACTAATAGCTCAGAGTTGTTAAAATCTTATCTAGGTCTGATTTAAAGGAACCCAAGGTTTTAGCTTGCACTACACTAGCAGGAAGACTATTCCATACTCTAACTACATGCTGTGTAAAGAAGTGTTTTCTCAAATTCATTTTAAAATGTTCTCCCACTAATTTCCACCTATGGCTACGAATTCTAGTATTTAAACTAATATTAAAGTAGCCATTTGGCTGAACAGCATCAAGACCTGTTAGAATCTTATATATCTGGATCATGTCCCCCCCCCCCCTTAGTCTCCTTTGCGCAAGGCTGAACAGATTCAGCTCAGCTAACCTCTCCTCATAAGACATTCCTCTAAGACCAGGAATCATTCTTGTAGCCCAACGTTGAACCTTTTCCAAGGCAGCAATGTCCTTTTTAAGGTATGGTGACCAAACCTGCACACAATATTCTATGTGGGGTCTTACCAAGGAATTGTATAATCGGTGCATCACCTCCCTTGACTTAAACTCCACACACCTAGAGATGTAACTATTGGCCTATATATATACATCCTATTGGCCTTTTTTATTGCTTCCCCACACTGGCGAGAGGGGGACATGGAAGCATCAACATACACACCGAGGTCTTTCTCATAATCAGCTACCTTTATTTCAGTGGAACCCATAAAATATCTGTACTTTATATTTCTGCTCCCTGCATAGATTACCTTACATTTATCTACGTTAAATTTAATCTGCCAGGTATCAGCACAGCCGCTAATTAAATCAAGATCCCATTGTAGCCTCTCTGCTGCTAGATCAGTATCTGCTACACAACCCACCTTGGTGTCGTCTGCAAATTTAACCAGTTTACTGTATGTATTGGTGTCAATATCATTAATGTAAATTAGGAACAATAATGGTCCTACAGTTGAACCCTGCGGTACCCGACTATGAACGCAGGCCCACTGCAACATTGTGCCTCTAAAAACTGCTCGCTGCTTCCTGTCTGTTAACTAGTTTTCGATCCAAGCTGCTACAATTCCTAAAATTCCCACTTGAAGTTAACAGTTCTCCATCCCTGCTGTAAACAGTATGGGTAAAGCCCTGCTTCCCTGTCCTGAGTTGCCTGATGGATTGCCAGAATCTTTTCGAGACCAACCAAAAATAATTTTCCATGCCCTCACTAAACTCCTCCTGCATGCCAGTTTTTGCTTAATCAACTACCAAAGCCACATTCTGATTAGCCTCTCGTACCTGTCAGCTGCTTCAGGAGTCCCACCAGGCAACCAAGCTCAGAAAACCTCCTTTTTTAACAAACAAACAAACAAATTTATTTTTGTATAATGCTTTTCACAACATTACATTGTCTCAAAGCACTTTGCAGCATCCCTGCCTAGAGCCCCCAGTGAGTAAGCCAGAGGCGACAGTGGCAAGGAAAAACTCCCTAGAAGGAAGAAACTTTGGGAGGGACCAGACTCAAAGGGGGAGTCCATTCTCCTGGGGCCGTCAAGGAAAGTCAAACTGGAGAGATGGCTACGTTTAGCCTGACAGCTCCCTGTACTGCTGGTGTCCACCGCCAGGTTTGGGGATTGCCACTGTGACAGGCACTAACCACCTTACGGCCACAGCCCACCACAGGCGCCTCAGCAATTAAGTCCCTGAACATCGCCCATTCAACCTCAATATCACAGACAACAGTCAGAGCCCATCCCACAACTCATAGTTGAAGAGAGGCGACCATCATTCAACATACAGGTATCAAACCAAGAAACTATCAGTAGACCAACAATTGCCCGCTGCCGCTGATCAAGGGAAACTTCAGAGTGGAATAGAGTCTAGCCCCGGTTCAGGACTTTGGTTCCAAAACCTGAGTCACACGTTGAGGAGAAGGATTAATTCTTCACCAATACTGAATGGCTTTTTACCCTTGGCAATACGGTAAACCACCAAGTATGATGCTCTCAATGCACTAACATTTGTTGATGTGGTGGCCCTCAGTGATACCTTTTGTCGTCCTAGCTCACAGTTTTTTCTTTCAAAATAATCCAAGGGCTTGTCTTTTAATGTTGGGTGGTTGGTCTCCACGTGGCGAAGTAGTTTTGAGGGCTTCATCGCCTCATTTGAAAGCCGATTGCCACATATTACGCAGAGCGGGCTTGGTGCATGGGAATCGCCGGTTGCAATAAATCCAAATTTTAAATAGGACTCCTGGTACTGTCTGTTAAAATTAGCTTTCCTCTTAGACGTAGTAGGCTCCTCTTCTGTCTCCTCACTGGGTCTTTTCCCCTTTCCAAAGAAACGATCAAGACACATTTGCTTTTTATACATCTTACTAGCTTGTGGGACTATTTTTAGCGGTAACTATCACGTGACCAAAGTTTTTTATTTTTTCTGTGCAGCCCGCGGATCGGTACCACATGACCCACGGCCCGGTACCGGTCCGCAGCCCGGGGGTTGGGGGCAACTGATATAGATTATGTATAGTAGCAATTATTATCCGTGCACTCATAATCACTTTTACCTGAGCAGCTTCTTCAAGGTATTGACCATTGCACTGCATTCACAGACACACTCTCTGCATCTACAATCCTTGTATTTTATTCTATTAATATGTGTAATATTGTATCTATCATTGTGTTTTTGTGCTGGATGCCTACATTTCCTTTGGGATTAATAAAATATCTATCTGTCTGTCTGTCATCTTATCTTTCTGCTAACTTAAATCAAAATTATGCATATGCTAGGACTGGGTGATAAATGATAACAATAATTATCACAATGTATCTGCTTCGATATCGATATGCCAATTGAATAAAAATGAAACAATGAATGCTGAATATGATTTACAATAAAACATGTTGCCAGCAACATGCTTTGCATCACAAAATGATGTCACTTTCTCTGTGACTACTTGTCGCACAACTGTGATTTATTGAACAAATAACAGAATGCAATAGGGCAGGTAGGCAGACAACCGACAAAACCATCAAAACAACAGGGCAACTTACAGGGAGAGCAGATAAGTCCAAAGCAACCTGTTCAATACCGGTAATCCAGCGAAATCCAGAAAGAAAGTCCACAGTAAATATTCAGTCCATGAGAAATCCCGATCATAATAATCCACAGAGAATGAAGTAAGGGATAATGTACAGGCAGCCGGAAGTTATCACAGAAATAAGCCCCGACAGTGTGATCAGGACCTGACGCGAAGCGGAGGGTCTTGTATCACACTGAAGGGGCTTATTTCTGCGATAACTACGGCTGCCTGTACATTATCCCGCTTATTACACGGCTACTTGCCACATAAGGAAAAAAACTGGACATGAATATGAATTTGAAACAATTTATTGGCATATTTGTTTTAAATTAACATTTTTAAACGGTAATCTTTGTTGGCGCGGAGGGATTTTAAACATACAAGTAGTACCGGCTATGCGTTATTACTTTGGAGCGGTTATTATTTGAAAAGAACGAACCTGCAAATGTTTCAACTGACCAATCAGAATCAAGCATTCCAGAGAGCTGTGTAATAAGAAACAATAGAAAGAATGCCAGCTGAAGCGTTTTTTTTGGGCGCTGACTAAAATAGCCTGTTGACCTTCTGTCTCAGACTTGTGAAATGTGAAATGCTGTTTAGTAGAGATGGCCAAAACAACGCATCATGAACCATTTTTCGAGCCCACATGGCGCTTTTGGTTTCCTTTTGGGCATGTTTTGAGCCCTTTTTTGAAAGAGCTCCATCTATTGAGGTCAGAAAATAGTCCCAGAAGTGTCATTTTGGCTATTGCTACTGTTTGGCAAGTGTTTGTCGCAGTACGCTTACATTCCGTCAGAGGTATTCCCCTGCTTTGTGCTCTTTTCTTTCTGGGACAGGGTCCAGGCTATCTCTGTTAGCCTCTGCTGGAGGAATTGTTGGAAGATGCATAGTTTTTTATAACCCCTATGGAAGTATATATTAGATATTTTGCAATGGTTTGAAGGGGAAATGAAGAAAGTGTAGGTTTTATCACCTTTAAAGTTAAATCATAGCTTAAGAAATGTGATATATTAACAGAACACAGGTGTTGGTATTGAGACTGACAAAGTATGTATATACTGTTTTTATTCCTGTGATGCTAGACTGAATTCTTGACAAATCATGATTGTTTGCTGATTGATGTTTTTGCTTATGTTTCACAGAAAAAAGAATGGCTCTGCTTAAATTGTCAGACTCAGAGGTTGATGTCTGGAGGCTTGGGAGACGCACCACTTCCCGTCCCTCAACCGTCTCCACAGCAACCCCAGCCACCGGCCAATCAGCAGCAAGCATCGCAGCAGAAGGAGACATGTCAACAGTCTGAACCAAAGCCTACAAGCCAGAAGTCAGAACAGAAACCTTCTGGGACTGAAACAAGCGGACAGCCGGACAAACTTAAGAAGGAACCTGAAATCCAACCATCTCCAGCCAAGCCTGATACCTCCACTGGAACAACAGATGGCAAGAAAGAGGAAGAAGCTCAAAGTCTGAAAAATGATAATGTGAGTGGTTAGTCTTAATCCACCTCATTATCCCTTTCATCATTTGGCGGTTTTCCCCTGCCACCAGTAACTGAGCCATACCCAAGCTGTACTGTGAACTGACAGTTAACCATTGCAAAGTATGTGAGTCTTACCCAGCCCACACCCGTACCGACATGGCTTTGCTTGCTAGCATAAAGCCAGCTGGTTGCATCACCACCATCTGAACAGTTGAAATGCACAGAGATACCATGCAGTGATCTGGATTACATGAAGGAATAAATGCTATATTCTGTATATTATTCATTATTAGCAGTATTATTAGCAGCATCGCGCATATATTAATGCATTCCCAATAACTCTGAACTTGAAAATTTCCAACCTCCTGCTTAAAAAAGTACTACACAACAGCTAAATGAAATGGACTTGTAATACAAATGTACACAAGCGATTGCTAGGACCGCTAGCAATTGACACTTGCATAACACAGCGATTCTCACAGACACCCTTGAGGAAATTTGCACACGGTAAAATAATAATAATACTAATTGCAAATAGTAAATCATGATGTAGATCGCGTGAACAGTGAATAAGTATCTCTTCTGTTTTACGTCACTGTCGCTCACCAAATTCACTGCCCTTACCAAGCCAACCTTTATGTAGTGGAAAACCGATGTCAGCTGGAACTGTGCTGTAACTAATTTCATGGTATGACTTGGGTACGGCTTGGTTCCTTTATGCCAGTGGAAAAGCGCCAGTTGCCTTCATGATCAGAACAGTCCTTTTCGTATTATGTGACTGAGTATTATATCTATAACACAGTTAAATTAATGCTTACTTTTATCCTCGTTATCATGTTCCATTTTACATATTATTTAATGTTTTCTTTTTTAATTTATTATCCACACCAAATTCCTGATTGTATTTCTTAATATTTTGTATTGTATATTTCATTGTTGTCTTTCAACTGCTTTTATGGTCAAATATTTCATTAGTGTTTATCAAATTTTGTTGCCTTTATTGGGATATATTTTTGCTATTACTTTTACACTCTGCTGGCTGTTTTTCTCTTTGTGTCCTTCATCCCCAATTTTATTGTTATACAATGTCTTACTTTGGTTAATCAATCTCATTAGTCCTCCTGTCAAAGATTGATATTCCATAGTATACCTGTGAACTACTGTTACTAAAGTAAGATGCTACTTCAGAATATGCTAAAGACATGAACAAAAAAAACATGCATGCAGAAGACACCATGCAATGCAGTACACATAGTGCGAACAGGTAAACGTTGTGGAAACAAATTTAAAAAGTACACATTACAGATTATCCCTGACTTACAACTGGGTTCCATCCCAACAGGCAAGTCATATCCTGAAAAGGATGTATGTTGGAATTGGTGTATACAGTATAGTGTACCACCTTCTGACATGAAAAAATAGTTCTCAGGCTTCAAAAAGTTATTGTTATTTATATGTAACAAACAACCGATTAGATTGGAAAAAAGTTTGGAATCATTGAGAATTTTCCTAGTTTGTGAACAAAATTCACTGTTTCCATAAAATAAGATTCAATTGGTCAGAAATATAGTCTACATATTGTTAATTTTGTAAATGACTATTATAGATAGAAATGGCTGATTTTCTACATTGGTGTACAAAGACCAATTTTAAGTAACCATCACTCCTGTGCTCCAATGACACATTGTGTTAGCTGTTCTTAAGTTATCATTTTTAAAGGTTAATTCATCATTGAAAAACCCTTGTATGATTATGTTAGCACACCTGAGAATCATTGTGCTGTTTAAGGAAGCAACAGAACTCACCTTCTCTGGTATCTGGAGCATCAACATTTGTAGGCTCAGTTGTGGTCTCAAAAGAAAACTTACTTCAAAAATTAATTAATCTATTGTTGTTTTGAGAAATTAATGCTATTCCATGTGAGAAATTGCTAAGAAATTTAAGATATCTTGCAAAGGTGTGCACTACTCCCTTCACAGAGCAGTGCAAACTGGCTCTGAGGGGGACAGAAAGAAAAGTGGGAAGCCGTGAGACACAACTGTGTGGAAGCATAAAAACTCTAGTTTGAGAAACAGACACCTTACAGGTCCTAAGCTGGCAATTTTATTAAATGATATCTGCAAAACACCAGTCACATCTTTAACAGTGAAGAGGTGATTCCGGGATAGCGAACTACAGTATTAGGCAGAGTTTCAAAGAAAAAGCCATATCTGAGATGGACCAATGAAAGGAAAAGATTAAAATGACTGGATTTCAACCATGTTGAGCTGTTTTTTTTTCTTTTTACATACATTTACTTAATATATTTTATTAAATTACAATTGTGTATACAAGTGGTTCTAAGTCACATAGGTCGTATGTTAGGGACATATGGAATAAAATGTTTTTTCTCTTTTATCTAGGAGACAAAGTCCAGCACTCAGAGCCTAAGTGATACGGGATATTCCTCTGACGGTGTGTCCAGCTCACAGAGTGAGATCACAGGGCTAATACAAGAAGATGCGAATAAACCCCCCAATGCTTCTGAGATCACTAAGCCAGAGACCAGCGCGCACCATTGTGAAGCTAAAGAAGATGATGATAAGAAGCAGCGCCCATGTTCCTTATCTATCAGCAACGAGGGACATGAAGAGCAACTAGATGGAGTCAGGGAGGAGGATTATAAGAAACCACAGAAAGACACAACAGATGAAGAGTTTATGAGAAGCAAGACTGCAGAAATGAGTGTGGACAGGGAAGACAACCAGATGACTTCACAAGGAGGCCTGCGCCGATTCAAGACTATTGAACTGAACAATACAAATACCTACAATAGTGATATAGAGCTCAGGAACAACAGAGAACCAGAGCTTGAAATGGAGACTCTGACTGGTTCTCCTGATGAACGTTCAAGGGGAGAATATTCATCAACCCTCTCTGCAACCACATCCAGCTACACTTCTGCAATTTCTCCAACTTCTGTCTCATCTATGGAGGAAGACAGTGACAGCAGTCCCAGTCGCAAACAGAGGCTTGAGGATGCCAAACAACAGCGTAAAGCTCGGCATCGCTCCCACGGACCACTCTTGCCCACTATTGAGGACTCTTCTGAAGAAGATGAGTTGAGAGAAGAGGAGGAACTTCTCAGAGAACAGGAAATGATGAGAGAAGTGGAACAGCAAGGTATTCGAAGCACTGCCAGAAAAACAAAAAGGGACAAAGAGGAGTTGAGAGCTCAGAGACGCAGGGAGAGGTCAAAAACACCACCCAGTAACCTGTCCCCAATTGAGGATGCATCTCCTACGGAGGAGCTCCGGCAGGCAGCGGAAATGGAGGAACTTCACCGGTCATCTTGCTCAGAATATTCTCCATCTATTGACTCCGAGGCTGAGGGGTTTGAAATGATGACGTCAAAGTCACGCAAGACTGCAAATGAACATAATCTTCCAACTTTTATGTCACTGTACTCCCCTACTGAAAAACTAACTAGCACATCACCTTGTTCTGCTGATAAAACACCAAAAAGTGCAGAAGTGGCCTATGAGGAAATGATAAGGAAGGCTGAGACGTTGCAGAAGAGTCAAGGAGAGCAACTGCTAAATAATTCTAAGGAAATTGAAAAACAGCTATTAGATGCTAGGTTAACAGCTGCTAAATTACTGGAGCAAAATAGAGCTCCTCTGACCCCTGGGACTAGTCCTACGCAAATTTCAGCCCCAATCTCTCTTCCTGATGTTCATGCTCCTTCCCAAATAGCAAACAGAAGCATTTCCAGACAACAGTCCTTGCAAGAATCTGGCAGCCCTAGTAAGCTGATGACCATCAACTCCTCCACATCTCCACTTTCCTCACCAACAAGACTAAGTCGTCAGTCAACAATTCATAGTTATACACCTGAATCTAGTTCTCCAACCTCCACACAGCGCCAATCTCTATATCAATCTCCTCAACACAGCTTTTCTAAAGACAGACTTCCTAACAGCACAGGAAGAATGGAAGAGGAAATGGAAAATATATCCCTCTGCAGACTTTCAACTGTTCCTGGAACATCCAGGGTTGCTGAGCAAGGCAAGATTCAACAAAGCAGTAGTATTGTTGATCTCAGAGCACCAATAAAGCCAGCCCCACTCATTATGACAGAGCAGGGCATGGATTTAACGTCTGTAGCTACAGAAATACGTAGGTACTCCATTGGCAGTGAGGGGAGTTATAGCCGACATTCTACAGCTGTTCAGCCTCTTATCATGAATCTGAACACTCATGAACATCCACGTGTGGCTGCCTCAACACCAACAACAGTCAATGTCACTGTAGCAGCCTCTAAGTTTATATCCCAGCCAAAAAAACCTGTGATTTATGGTGACCCTCTGCAGAACAAAGTGGACCTTGGTCAAGGGTTAGGATCTGCAGTGTGCCTGACTCAAAGCAAAGTGTCACCAAACTACGCTTCCATTCCAAAGATAGATGCATGTCTGGAAGACTTAGGTATACAACAACAACAGCTGCAGTTGCAGCAAGAGAAATTACAAAAACAGAAGGAGAAGCTTGAACAACAACTCCAGGCAGCTTCTTTTGCTAGGTATAACTTGGCTAATCAAGCCCAGCCCATGCTCTTGAAGAAAGACCTTCTGGTGTGCCAGACTACCAATCCCCAGGCACCTGTTAGCAGGTGTGCAATATCCAGGACATCTTCTCTTCCATCACAAACTGTTTCTTCAACATCACATGACATCTATTGTGGCATCCCTCTGGAGCTGAAGTCTAAACCCACTGCTGTGAATCTGACTATGGGCAAATCTCATGCTATGATGGTGCAGCTGGTGGACAGCACTTCTCAAGGGAAAACAGTTACACAGCTAGTTAAAACATCAGAACTGCCTAACCAGGATGTCCTGGACTTGACTGGGCAGATAAAGGCAGAGACCCAGTTGGCATGTTGTGATGTAGTCTACAACTTGCCTTTTGGAGGAAGTTGCAAGGGACCCTTCAGTCAGAAAGTAATGCTAGAAGAGAAGATGTCTGCTACAGATGCCTCACAAACCAGTTATTCAGCCCATGCTCTTGAGGTCAGTGGGAACCTCCAGGCAGAGCCTCGTCAAGAAAGTCACCAATATCAAGAACATGCTTCAGTCAACCAAAATGTAAATGAAGACAACAAATCCCAACCTGCATCTATATCTGGACAATCTGTATCTGGACCACCTGTATCTGTATGTGAACAACCTGAACTGGTATCTGGACCACCGGTATCTGTATCTGGACAACCTGGTTCTGAACCACCTGTATCTGTATCTGCACAACCTGGATCTATATGCGCACAACCATCTTTATCAAATACTGATTTTGTTGAGGCTGGACTCCAAGGTGATCATTCTAAAACTAACCCTGGAACATATTTAAATACCATACAGAAAGATTACGTAGGAGGTTACCTTGGAGTAGGTGCACAGTATGGATCCTACACAGATCTACGGCAACAAAATAACATAGGTCAATCATTCCCTATGCGAAGGTATGGATCCATGTCCAGCATTAACACAGACTATGGTTATTCCACTATCCCAGAATCCAGTTTAGCTCAGTATAGTGCGACCACTGCCCGGGAAATCAGTCGAATGTGTGCTGCTTTGAAATCAATGGACCAGGTTGGTGGAAGATATGGAAATAATCCTGAAGTTTTCCAGTATGGTTCTGTAGCAGGAGGCGGTCCTCTAGGCAGACCCAGCTTACAACAAGGTTTAACATCAGTGAGAGCTAGCCTAATTTATGGTCATAATGGGGGGCACCCGGCACAAGGTCAAGTATATGCGAATTTAATCAATTCAAATCAAGCTAGTCTACGATATCCCTCAGCTGTTAGATCTGCAGATGGCATGATTTATTCTACTATAAACACCCCAATCGCTTCCACATTGCCAATCACAACCCAGCCTGCCTCAGTTCTATGTCCCACGCTACAGGGAATTTACAGACCCTGCACACCTAGCAGTCTGACTTCAGTACCTTTAGCTAGCCTCACCAGGTTACCTCAAGTAACTCCAAGAATGCCTCTTTCTGCACAGGGACCTTATCGTTATCCTCCACCCAGCCGTTTCCCTTCAGGCCCCTGTGCAGCTGCCAATGCAACACCCCAGATTCCAATTTATCTTGGAAAGCCTTCTATAAAACCTACAGTGCCCAGTACTATGCAGACAGCTGAATCCTTACCACCAGCTCAATCTAGCCAACAGGTGACACATCCCGCATCTATCATAGTGTCCACACAACAGCAATCCCAATCTCACTTTACGATGCAAATTGCCCCAAAGATTCCAGTGCAACCCCAAACTCAAACACAATCACAAATTCAGATGCAGCCTCAAACACACCAGAACATCCCCCGGGCTGCACAAGTTACAACAACCAAAACTAGCAACCCAGAAAAAGAGAAAGAGGAAGAGCAGTTGCGTCAAAAGCAGGAACAGCTGTTGCAGTTAGAGCGAGAACATGTGGAGCTGGAGAAATTACGTCACTTGCGATTACAAGAAGAACTTGAAAGAGATCGTATGGAGTTACAACGACACAGAGAAAAAGAGCAATTGTTAGTTCAGCGTGAGATTCAAGAGCTGCAGAGTATCAAGCAACAGGTCCTAAAGCAGCAACATGCTGAAAGAGAAACTCAGTTGGTCTTGCAAAGGGAACAGTTAGCCCAACAGAAAGTGCAACTGGACCAGATCCAATCACTGCAGCAACAGCTCCAACAACATCTTGAAGCAGAAGAGACAGAAGACAGCTGATACAATTACTCCAGCTGCAGCTACAAGTGCTCAAGGATTCTCTGTTATCTGTCCCATAACTGGCAATATAATTCAGAAAGATCTCACGCAACCTTATGCAGATGGGCAAGGACTGATCGCTTCCAGACCATTGCCTAGTTCCACTTCTGAAATGTCTCTAAAGAATAATGAGGAGCTTTTGGAATCTATAAAGAAACAAAACTCAATGCCTCGTTTGAGGGATAGCGCAGAAGGGGAAGACAATCAGCTCCTTGTGAAGAGGATTACTGACAGCTGTGTGCAGACTGATGATGAGGAAGGGGAAGAGAGATCGATCATATCTCGACGGAGAAGAACTAGACATATTGTTGATAGTAGTGTCCAGACAGATGAGGAGGACCAAGATGAATGGGAGCAACCAGTGCGGCGCAGAAGATCACGCTTTTCCAAGCACTCAAGCTTAGAGTCAAGCTTAGAGAACAAACTTGACACATCTAAAGTGTCTTCCCTGAATGTTGCCATTCAGACTATAAATGACTCTTCATGTCAAACTGAACTAGAGCTTTTGAGAGGAATCTCTCCTTCAATTCATATAACATCAGAGCCTAGGGTTGAATTTTTGCACTACATTTCTGCCCCAGAGAGGAACCGGCGGGGAGAAAGCCTTGCTTGTCAGACAGAGCCTGAGTCCCAGTCACAAGGGGTGGTTGTACCCCAGGTAAATGTGTCCTCCACTGTGGATCCCCTCTCCTTACGAATAACAGGAACAAGTAAATTTGAACGCAGAAAGCCAGATCCCCTAGAAATAGGTTTCCAGAACGAACCTGTCTCCAGCCTGGTTCGACAGCCTCCTAAGTCACCCCAGGTCTTATACTCCCCTGTTTCCCCTCTGTCCCCACATCGACTACTAGAGAATTCCTTCTCCTCCAGTGAGCGTCTCAACAAAGCTCACGTTCCTCCACAGAAGCACTTTTCAGTTGATTCTCCAGAACACCACCAGCCTCTGCCCCATCCTATAAAGAGCATGCAGCGTTCTTTGTCAGATCCTAAACCCATCAGCCCTACATCAGAAGATCCTGCCCAGGCCAAGTTCTCCATTTACCAGCATCAAGCTCTCCTGAACAAGCAGGTAGGGAACTGGGAAATAAACATATGGGAATTGTCGTAGTTAATTTAAATAATCAGTTTTATCCACAGTTTCATTATTAAGCACCTAATGTGCTTTTTATTGTATTCCCTGGATGAACTCAGCAGACACATGAGATCTGGAACTGATGAAATTGTCTTAGAGCACCACAAAATGGTAACAAAGAAAAGGGCAGTTTTGATATTTGATCTCATTAGCACAGTAACAAAAAAATATTTGAAGGGTCTTTTTCGAACATTTCAAACCAGACACATTGGAATGCGTTAGATGGGTTGCCCTAAAACTGAAGCAATGCTGCTTAGTAGCAGCAGGGGGACTACAGACTGCAGTTGTTTTTGGCTGCCTGTCTTAATTTTAGTTGTAGTCTAGTCTTTGCGTCAAGCTGTCATTTTAGTTATTATTAGTCTTAGTCACGTCCATACTCATTTTAGTCTAGTCAAGTTTCAGTCGACTAAAAGTCTGAGCATTTTAGTCATATTTTATTCAGAATTATCCATGACTATTTTAATCTAGTTTTAGTCAACGAAAACTGATGACATTTTAGTCTAGTTTTAGTCAACGAAAAATGTATTTTAGTCTCTTTATTTTAGTGATGCAATTCTATTTTACCTAGTCAATATAGTACAAGTACGTAGTAGAATATACAAAAACAAAATTTTCTTTTAGTCAAATGCATTTCACAATTAAAACAAGGTTCTTATTATTATATTATTGTTACCTTATAGACTCAAGAATACTCTACATCCATTCCAGACACGGAAGATGCTCTGATTTGAATTTATAACATTTATTTTGCCAACCAAACATGTTTGAACTTAGAAGTACACACAAATTTTAATAAAATAAATAAATAAAAGGTCCATCTTCTTGCGCGGGACTTGCTTCACTGAAGCTGTTTCTGGAATCTAGCACAGGAATAGATACAATGTAAGGACAGATGCAGCCTCTGGAAAATCTAACTGTTGTAAATATTAAGTAGCATAAATCCTTGCTATTAGGCCTCTTTTGCCCTCAATGACTGAAACTATTGGTTGCAATTTGGCTGTTTATTTTCTGCTACAATTGTTTAACAGAAAAAATAGGCGTCACAAAACCATAAGGGATGCCAATCTAAATGCATCATACTCTGAATCATTCACGAACATCCTTTTCACAAGAACATTATTTCACAATTAGCAGGTATTTACATGAGCTGTAGCCAGAGCCTACCTCTACGTGGATGGTAACTAGCCTGGCAAGCCAGACCCATGCACGATGTTCCGAAAAACGCTCATTCAATGTTTCAAACACTACCCCTTTCGACATATATCTAGTCACGCAGTAATGAAAGCTTGAAAGTTTAGATCTCCAGGATTCAAGACAGCTGAGCTGTTGTTCTCAGTTTGCTACTTAGCTTTAGCTTGCTAAAATGCCTACATAGCTTCAACGTGTTCCTTTTACCCACGTATTCTTATCAAACATCTTATCAGAAAGATGTTTTGTACAGATCGCCAAGTGTCCATGCTTATGAAATATAATTTTCTCCAAAACGTCTGAAGCTAGCAGGATAACATCTATTGCTAATGATAACATGTTAACCACAGTTGGCATGAGCTTTCTAAAATAGAAAGTAACATTACGTTAATGTCTTTACTTACCTCAATGTCATTGTGGAATGCCTTGAGATGTCTTTTAAGGTTTTAAAGTTTGTGGTGTTTTTTCCCGATATTTTGTGCCCGCATTTCTCCACCATCTGTGCGCCCCAATGGGAGACACAGGAAACAGAAATACTGCATAATAATAATAACGCGATTAAACGACAGGAAATAACGTCTCGTCTCGTTTTCGTCAACAAAAATGAAGAGACATTTTAGTATAGTTTTTATTTTGTAAACCAAATTTAGTCTCGTTTTTATTCGTCAACAATATTACACGATATATTTCGTTATAGTTATCGTCACATGACCAGCATTTACGTTGTGTCTCGTCTCCATCACGTCAAAAAGGTTCGTTGACGAAGATATTTCGTCAAAAATTTTGTTGACGAAAACAACACTACTACAAACCTTGTGAATGTGGTAAGTCAAAAAGTATTTGATGGATTTTACTACTACTTCACAAAAACATTATTTGGATGAAAATATATATCTGAATTCATTGTAAGACAAAATGCCCCAAAATTTAAGTAAAAGGGCTAGACAGCAGCTAAGTGGTAGCTGGAGAAGACACTTGATCTTGTGAACGCAGTAACTCTAAAAATATTTGATGGATCTAGAACTGATCAAATTTTGAGACGCCTTGCATTAAAATTGAAGCAGCACCATATAGTATTATCAAAGTGAAGGGTAACCTTGGACACTTTCCTCACCAATATAAATGTAAAAGTCCTTATCAGTACCTGTCCATTAGCCTATTGGCAAAATTAATTGTGGGGAACTTGGCGAAATGTATCCCCCCCATGCAAAATCATATCAGCAGCAGCCCTTTTATGACCTTTGGGTCATTACCTACAGCACATAACCATAAGAAACTTTGCTTGGATAAGGGTACACCCCTCAATGATGCATACTATTAGTCAGTTTTGATATGGCAAGAGGCTAATTAGCATATATCGATGCTTGTAATTGATAATTTCCAGAATAAAGGAAGCTGCTCCTGTATGCTTCTTTTACAAGGTGTGTGTACAAAAAAGCCCTTGGAATATAGTCAATGTCACTATTATGAATTGGAAGGCATATTGCATCATCCAAGATGCTTCTAATTGGGGTCATTACCAAACTGGATGAGAAAACCTTATCACAGAGGAAACAAAGAGTTACCATTATTCAGGGGCAAAGGATTCCAATATTTGAGTGTTATTAGGGTTACCATATTTGGTGAGACAAAAAAGAGGATGTGCCCATAGGTCAGAATATTAATGAGTTTCACATTCACCGGCCAATCAGGAAGCACTTTTCATGAATATTAATGAGTTATCCATAACCACCCTGTTAAACGAAAATTCATGTCAAACTTGTATGTATGGTACCCGCACAGTTAACTCTCATTGTACACTCTGGACACAAGATACATGTATACACGTTTTTTTAAACAAAAGTTTACAAAACGCTTAGCTAATGTTTGTTAAACTTAAAGCAAATGATGTGATTCACTGTTCATACGAAAACAAAAATAAAGTGTCAAAGCGCCAATGGTTTCTGGAAGTTGACATTACTTGTGAGCGGCGTGACATGTAGAGGCATGCATATCGCTTGACTTTTAAAGTAGATGTGTGCACAAGCCTTTCAAACACTGCGCGATGATACTGAGTGGCAGTAATTAAAGAAAAACTTGCATCTACCAAGTTTTCAATCACTTACTGAAGCCACTCATTTTTTAAAAAATCCCTTTAAAACACTGCATATTTCTTTTTCATTTGGTGGATTGTATTTCAATGCATAAAGAAAGGTAAATAAAGGAAATTTCATTTTCTTTGTCTCTGCTTTTTGGTGGTTAAATAGTATTTTGTTTTTTAATTGTATCTTTCTAAATGCACTGTAGATGTTTATGTAAATCTTCATTACATACGATTTTCTTTGCAATGTTGGGGACGTAAATATATGTTACACTTTTAAAATTGGAATATTTTCCAGTCACAACTGTACATTTGATCATGCTGTGCAAAGTCAGATATTAAATAGCATGTATTTGACGTTTACAATTAAACTAACGAAATAGCATTTTGCATTTGTCATTCAAATTCCTGAGATGTAGATGCATTTGTAGTGCTGGTTTGCACTCTGACATAGCCTCCATCTTCCAGCAGAACTTGCCGACAAGGAAGGTGAAAAGGACCCTGCCTAGTCCACCTCCGGAGGAGAGCTCCCTTCCCATCGTGACCCCTACCCACAATTCTATGTTTGCGTCTACGAATATGGCCCAAGCAGCACTCAGTGCCCCCAAGCCTGGGCTGCTGATTGATCTGAGGGTAGTGGAGCAGGAGTCCAGCAAGCTTCGCAAACAGCAGGCTGAACTAGAAGAGGAAGAGAAGGAGATCGATGCCAAGCTGCGTTGCTTGGAACTCGGCATCACCCAGCGCAAGGAAACTCTGATAAAGGAGCGGGAGCGGCGAGAGTTAGCCTATGTCCGCTGCATGGGTGAATCCAGGGACTACACACCAGACAGTGAGCTCACTACCCAGCACTTGAGGGGGACACCCTTTGACAACAGTGGCTCACTCACAAGACTTAGTACAGCTTCTTTAAATCAGTTTACAGCTAATCAACTGACCCCTGGCTCCTCCTTCCTCAGCTATGACTACCAGCAGAGCCAACCTGGACCTCCTCCACAAGACTGCCCTGCCTACCAGCAGAGAGGCTTCCAGCCCCCTCAGTACCAGACTGTCTCGCTAGGTCAGCCTCAGCCTGGCACATTTCAGCCCCAGTCCTCTGCTGCTGTACTCCACCAGTCACACATCTTCTCCCAGAACCAGGCTTCCTATCAAACAAGTCTATTACTACAGCAGAGCCATACTGGGTTCCAGCCACCTCCTAGTTCTGCATCTTATGTATCACAGACACATCCATATTCTGAGGAGACAGGCCAGGGTATTTCTCTGCAGCCACAGCCAAAGACCCAGCATCAGAAGCCTAGACAGACCTCATTAGCTGACCTTGAACAGAAGATGCCCACTAACTATGAAGTCATTAGCACTCCCACTGTGGCAGTGGCCGCCACAGCTCTAGAAGATATCTACAATTCCGCTTACTCATCCACAACTATATCTAACACTTATGGGCAATATAGGCCACCAGAGCAGAGTCTCTCTGCCGAAATCCATTCTCCTGTTAACCCTACACCTGCCTATTCCTCAGAAGGCCACTATACAAACCTAGAGCAAAACATCCCCCGAAATTATGTAATGATAGATGACATCAATGAGCTCACCAAAGAGAGCAGAGATATGTATAGAACTGATAGAAATGGTGGTTATGGGAACATGAGCCACTATGGAAGGGCTGGTGAAAATCCTGAAGATCTGTATGATCATCAGGGTAGAGTTAGGGGGGACTACAATTCACATGTGGATGGATCTTCCTATTACTATGATGACTACAGGTCATCTTCATACACGCATTCTAAGAACATGACTCCGGCTGTCATGTCTTCTAAACGTAACAAGCACAGGAAGCCGGGCATGGATCAGATCTCAAAGTTCTCACCGATTGAAGAAGCGAGGGACGTGGAATCTGACCTGGCCTCGTATAACATGGCCACATCAAGAGGCAGCAGCAACATTGCATCTAGGGCCAGGAGGCTTCAGGATGATATTACATATGGACTAAAGAAGAATGTTTATGAACAGCAGAAATATTATGGCAAGTCCAGTCATGATGGCCTGGAAGAAGACAATCGCATGTATAGTTCTGGAAGGTCAAGGTCAACGGGCTATGGGATGGATAAGATTGCATCCCGAGAATATGGCAGCTATAGGAGCAAATCATATGAGATGAACATTGAGGAACGTTCCCACAGGGGAAGTCACAGGCGTTCCCAGAATCTTGATGAGAGCCCAATGAATGAGGCACAAGACCCAACTGGGTCAGAGTCACGTGATAGGTACAGTCAATATGGCTCCAGTCACTCTTTGCCTGATGTGCAGGACCGCACAACGGACTTGCCGAGAAGCCACATTTACAAACAAGATGATCCTAACCTGGTAGATGACATGAATTGTGCTGTATCTGATAGTGAAGGTAATTGGTGCTAAATTACAAATCCTGCTTGGGTTTCAGCAAGCTCTAAACTTTCCTGTAATGCACATGACAGAAGCATGCTGGTCAGTTTGAAATGACTGTTGAATGCTATGCCCAGGGTTCAATTAACGTGCCAAGAAATGTTCTGGTGTGTTTTGAGTTGCATCATCTGTGAATTATTTGTATTGTTTTTAATTGTGTTCTGTGATGTGTAAAAATGCTCTGTAAAGTATTCATTCTGTTCTGTTGATTTTTTTTATTAGCACTTATTTGTTCATCTGTTTGTTTTAATTATGCATGTTTCCAAAGTACTTTCTTTTGCATGTTTTTCTGTGCATGCTTTGCTGTCATTGCATGGATTGAGTAGACCGCACACGCCTCTCTTGGACAAAACAGCAGACATTGACTGTGATTTGTGTTCGGTTTCCAAAGCGTATCATTTGGGACAGGAGGAGACAGATTGGTTTGAGAAGCCGCGGGAGAGCCGCTCTGAACGCTCGAGACATCATAGCGGCAGTTCCTCAACTCACAGGAGGAGACACTCACAGCATGAGTACGATGAACCCCTTGAGAAGGAACCCTTGCCGCAGGATGACTATGCTCAGCCGCGTTCTTCTTCATCTGCATCACAGGACCACGGGCAACAGGGAAGTAGCTCAAGAAGGCATTCCACCTCTTCCAGGCACTCATGTGATGACCTGCGGTCCTCCAGGTCTTCCAGAGAACACACTAATGACCCCTCTGTACATCCAGAATCTCGGGGGTCACCTTCCACAGCAAAGCGTAGGACTTCGGACTCTAGGTCCACACAGGACCACCCTTCTGATCAGTCCCAGGATCCATCCAGCCACCACCAAGGTTCGCCTGGACCTAGGAGGCAAAAGCAGACATCTTCGCCATCATCAAGAAGACATGAAATGCAGCGCATGGCATCCACAGAGTCCAAGTCACAGTCTTCCAGTCCAAAGCACCGGGCCTCCAGTGGGCAACAGCCCTCTTCTCAACAGCAAGAAGGACAACAAGGGCATGGGCAGCAAAAGCCACAGTCCAGGAGAGGGTCAGGGGCAGGAGTTGAGGCTGGGGCCGAGGCTCAGGTCGAGGCTGGGGCTGGTGCTGGGACAGCACAGCACCAGCAGTCCACACCTAGCCAGCCTCCAGCCCAGGCCCTGGCCCAGGTCCCAGCCCAAGCTCCAGCCCCAGCCCAAGCCCAGACCGAGGCCCCTGCCCCGATCCAGGCCCCGGTCCAGGCCCCAGCTTCAGCTCAGGCCCCAGATCTTGCCTCAGACCCGGCCCCGGCTGAAGCTGGAGCCCAGGCCCAAGCCCAAGCCCAAGCACAGACTCCAGAGTCAGACCCTACCCCAGACTTGGCCCCAGTCTCGGCTCCCGCCCCAGCCCTGGCCCAAGCCCCAGCTTCAGCCCAAGCACCAAGCCAAGCACAGCAGCCACAATCTAGCCCCAAACGTACTCCAGTGGTTAGTACAATGCCACCAGTCTTTTGATTTAACTGTTTCTTGTTTATTGCTACACTTTTTTTCTCATAGCCACATCTGTATTAGTACGAAAGAATACACAAATAGATATATGTTACGTTAGAACTCTTATAAGGCACTTTTATAAGCTGAAGAATAATGTACAACAGTCTAACAAACTCATTTTTCTGCATGTTTTGTAAATAATTGTAGGTACTGAAGTACAAAATTTTATGTAATGATTATTTGAGAAAGTATATCATTCTTGTTAGATGAGTTTACATTTCTAAGTGATTGTTTTACTGTAAGCACACCGGGTCAGTATCAACTGGGAGTTCTTTTATTGCCAGGCAAAGACAGACCCTACACCTGATGCTTCTAACCCGGGGATAAAGCCAACAGGGTCTCAGCTTGCCAAATCCCAGCCAGTGCCGTCCACAGGCATAGGTAAGCAGGTGCTCCAGCCAGTGCCGTCCACAGGCATAGGTAAGCAGGTGCTCCAGCCAGTGCCGTCCACGGGCATAGGTAAGCAGGTGCTCCAGCCAGTGCCGTCCACGGGCATAGGTAAGCAGGTGCTCCAGCCAGTGCCGTCCACGG